GGAAAAGATGCACTAAGGACAAATAGTAAAAATCTTACCATCCTTCCTAAATAGATGTGACAGTAGTTCATTACGAACACTATTGGTCGCACGTTTTCAGTACTAACATTTCTAAATCCAGGAAGAAAATTTGTCTTGACAGTATCAAGATCCGCAAGCCATGAAACATAATGACTGAGCTCCTCGCAGTTGAGTTCAGCTCCGGCACAGTAGTAGGTCCTGTCTACCAAGCGCTGGACATGTTTGCTTGCACCGAAATAAACTGACAATAGATATTAGTTGTCAACTATTTTTGAATAAACAATATCAAAGACATAAATATGGTTGAGAAACTTACATAATGGTATAACTGGAGGCGTCTGCACATCGACCCATATGTCGGTATTACCTTCAATATCATTTTTCGGACGAATATCAAAGGTGATAACCATATCAGGCTCAAATGCATAAGTCTTGCATAGTGCTCGCCATGTTTTGCATCCAAAATAGGTGTAGTCGTCTAAATTGTATAATTTTGCATGGAAAATATAACCATGCTCGATCTTCAAGTAAACTTTCTTTACCTCCATAGTATGACTGAAACCTATCTTATCCAATACAAAAACTCTTGCATGGCAGGGGATACGCTAGTAGAATAGTAAAAATAAATAAATTATAAGTTGAAGCAAATGAAGCAGATGTCATGCTTAATTACGAAAAAAGATTTGTCGTTGTGACTTACTGTATCCACTTCGAAGTTCTCGTCCAGCTTGATGTTGAAGCGCCTATCATCATCTAGGAAGATTCCATCGCACAGGCCGTGCTCGTCTTCGCAGTATTTGCAAATACCGAAATCCTTTTCGTCGTCAGACATTTCCTATGTTCATAGTTGAAACATTAATTGAAAATTGATCGAAGACAACTACCAGGATACTCAACACACAAATCCAGGGCACTCGATATTTCCTACATATTCTGGCACAAGTCATGCCAAAATTCACGGAAAAATCCGGCATGACCTTTGCTAAAATATATAGGACATATCGAGCGCCTGAAATTTGCCGGAACGAAAATGAATCAACACTCCGGCAAAACATAGGCCACTCGGAGGTGTAACCTGCAAACATGACCGGCCACTTGGGCAAGCACAATCCTATTTGAGCAACACAAGATATACAACAAGTTCTTACTAACTAGTTCTATTAATGCAACTAGTTCTTACTAAAAATAAAATTACTATAAATAAAAATAAACTAGTACCTAATTAGTACCTAGTTCTTACTAACTAACTAGTACCTAGGAACTATAAATTTGATTCAACATCCGATTCGTTTCCACTCTTACATGAACCCTAACTAATTTAATGCAACTAAAATATGAAGAAACCCTAGGCAGAGGTAGGGGAGAGGGAGGAGCAGGCGTGCTCACCTCGAGTGACTGCAACGAGGGAGGGGCAGGCGGCGTCGAGGTTGGGGTCGGGGGTCGGGCGCGCGGCGGGGGGTGGCGTCGAGGTCGGGGGCGGGGGCGGCGGCCGGGGCGGCGTTGAGGTCAGGTGCGGGGGCGGCGTTGAATCCGGGGTCAGGGGCGGCGTAGAGGGTGTGCGGAGAGCGCGCAGCGGCCGACGGTCGACGGCGGCGGCGAGAGCGGAGGAGTTGAATTTGGGGAAGTGGCCGTGGGGAAGGACGAACCGGCGGCGGTTAAGTCAAAAGTAGCAGTAGCGCGTTAGGGAAAGCGCGCTGCTGCTACATTAGCTACAGCGCGTTCTGTGATACACGCTACTGCTACTCCTTTCTCTTTTTTCCCTTTTCATTTATTTTTCTTCACATTTTATTTTTCTCCTTTCACTTTATTCTATTTTTTTCATTTTCAATTACCTTTCTATCTGCTTTCCATTTAATTTTAGATCCTTTAGCAGTAGCGAGTTTAGAGCAAACCGTGCTGCTACAAAGAAATTAGCGGTAGCGCTGTTCTCTGCAGATCGCTACTACTATGTGTAGCCTATGTGATAAGCCGTGGGAATTTTAGTAGTAACGTGTTTGGGAGGAGGCGCGCTACTGCTAGAACTTTAGTTGTAGCACGGTTTGAGCAGGCGCGCTACTGCTATTTAGTACCAGCGCGCGTTTTTGACCCACGCTACTGCTAAAGTTCTGTGTATAAGGTTTTCCCTAGTAGTGTCCGGTCACACACGCGGGGCAAAAAGAGCTCGTGTGCGATCGGACGAGCCATCACAGACAATTATACAGGCCCAATCGTTTCCGTTCGTAAGTACATCCCACACAGTGAAAAGCCATACGTTTCCGTTTGTATATACATCTCACACGGTCAATCCAAGGAATACGTTTCCGTTCATATGTACATCTCACATAGTCAATCCAAGAAATCTGTTTCCGTTCGTATGTACACCCCAAACGATGAATCCTAGACAAACGTTTTCGTTCGCACGTACATCACACACAATTTTTCCCATCAAATCATATGTGATAGCGTTGCCATTCCAGACGATATTAATAGTTTTTATCGTTTGTATTATTGAATGCATCACACACGGTGCCTAGAAGAAACAATGTGGCATAGGTTGTCCATCACACAAACTTTTTATGTTGAAAACGTTTGCGCAAGGTGTTCTATTGATTTGCCATAATTTAACATTGTTATCTATCAATTCAAGACCTTGCTCTCCATTGCTACCAATTACAATCAATTGTATATGAAGAACTAGGTGTGCATGATCTTAGTGAACCTCTTGTGGCCACCCAAATATGCGCCAGTCTCGCCCACAGCGCCATTGACAACGTCGGCTCCAAGAAGTCGTCGTCGTCGTCGCCAAAGCTAGCATAACTAGAGTAACAGCCACAGTCGATTCCTCCTCCTGATGCGCTACCAAACTCGTGAGGGTCTAAGTTGTCATTGTTGCCCGGAGTCACATCCACCATGCCTGCGAGCCGCGGGAGAAACAACGAGAAGGAGCTAGGGTTAGAGGAGCGGTCTGACCCAGCCAAACCAAGCGATCGAGATGGACTTGTCCTACTCAGCGTTCGCCACGTCGGCACCTAATAGGCGGGCCCCGCTGGTCAGTTTCCCTGTCAAAACTCGTTTAAACGCGGATCAGCTCAATTTGTTGCCGCACTCCTAGACTTGATACTGAAGTAAACAAAACGCAAAGTAGTGTCAATACATTATCCTATCTACAATTATATAATACTCCCTCCCTCCGTAAACTAATATGAACGCTCTTATATTAGTTTATAGACAGGGTACCAATGTGCAATTAACCCCTTTGGTCGAACTGGTTGGGGGCCAACTAAATACCCATAGTCATCTCCTCCTTTACCTTCCCCTGTTGTTGCGCCCGGTGCTTCCATGGCGTCCCTTCTCCGGCCCGCCTCGTCGTGCCCCTCCTTTCGCCTCCCCTCCTCCACAGCCCCTGCACCTCCGCCGAGCCTCCTTTCCAGGCGGCACAAGGCACCTCCCGTCCCACCCACGCCCCACACCCCTCCTTCCCGGCCCCGCGTCGCCGCCGCCGCAGCCTACGGAGGCGCCCAGCTGCTGGGTCCCGTCGACACGCAGACATTCATCATCGCCGCCTCCGTCGTCGCCGCGGTCTCCCTGTCACTCGTCCTCGGCCTCAAGGTCTCCGCGCGCTGCCACTCCTCCTCCTCCTCTTCTCCTTAATCTTAGCGATAAGCGACGAGTGGCTGTTGCGAATTGTTGATTTCGTTCCTTTCTCGTTCGCAGGGGGACCCCGTTCCGTGCGACAGGTGTGCTGGAAACGGTACCTCTCCTTGCTCTCGTATCCTCTCTTGATCAAGTTTTGGAAAATGAAATTGCTCCGCCTAGTGATGCATTGCTTCGCGATTGTACTAGAGCTGAAGCTTGCACATCTACACCCTATCCAACTAGCGATGTATCATGAATGGCCGATCTGTGGATTCAGTTTGTGAGCTTGAACAAACTAACTGGTCATACGGAAGAAACAAAACGAATGGAGCATATAAAATTCAACGAAGTTGTTCGCTTTACAGTAATGTATTATGGTTATGACATTTTGTGCATGTCGCACGCTCAAAACGTTCCTACCTGCAGACTGCTAAGCATTGTTTTCCGTTGTGCCTAGGGCAGGAGGCACAAAGTGCGTCTTCTGCAATGACGGCAAGATGAAGTCGGATAACGGGGTGGTCGAATGCCGGGTATGCAGAGGAGCAGGTTGCCTTCTTACCTTGTTTCATTTCCTTCCTTCACATTGCGCATTGGAGTGCAAAAGCTGTTAATAGATCACCAAGCACTGATTCATTGTGGACTGGACAAAATGCTCATTGTCTCCATTTTGTCTTTCGGCGACCTCTTCTGACAATCCGCTATATGTTTGTCACGCAGGGCTGATACTCTGCAAGAAGTGCTCAGGTTCTGGTTACTCTAAGCGCTTGTAGCCCCAGCTGCCCAACATTACGTGCATTTGTCAAGCAGACAAGCTAGCTGGAGTTTACACGTCTGGGCGCTGTACAGACAAATGGACGGCTCCTCTCCATTGCCGAACTGTTTAGATAGATACGAGCATACGATGGCGATGATGTATTAGAATATACAGAGTTGTATTTTTCGACCTGTCCATGTAAGTATACAACCCTTAATCATCTGGCAAGATCAACTACGCGCAATGGCTCCACGTTTCCTGATTAGTCCATGTTTTTATAAACCAAAACTGGTGTTACGAGTCAGATTTGCAACTGTTCAGCACTAAAATCTTCGGGTCGCGCTGCAATACCAGGTTATATGATTGGCAACAGAGAAGATAGATACGCTACGCTTCGCAGCATAATTCCATGCCAAATTAAAATGTTTTAGCTGAAGCATCTGAAGACAGTACTATTACATACCAAAAGTCATACACTTATGATAGTTGCAGGTTATTACAACCATGATGAAGTGTTCAAAAGAGAAACCACTTTAGGATTCTAGATACTCAGCGAAACACAGTTCCTGGGCTTCATCTCCAAGAAGGAACGTTATATGACTGTAGCTTGTTACACATCTGTTATCTGGCTACCGAATTCGGAGTACTCATTCTCATTGGGCTTCTTTGCGGCACCTTCTCCAATATGCCTCTCTGCAGGTTGCCTAGGAGATGGTCTCGAGTCCCCGTCATGAATGGTTGGAAATCCAAAAGATTTGAAGAACTCGTTGGTCATCCGCTCAGCTTCATCCAGAAAGCTACCGAAGCCTTTCTCAATAGCTTCTATGTCACTGCGAAGTCCTGGAAATGCAAAGGGCTCTTTTGTCGGGAAGCCAAGAGAACGCGAGGCACCACCGGTCATTTCATCCGTGACATCTTCTTCGGTGTTCTCAGTTTTTGATTCCACCAGCTCGGAGGGCCTAACAAAGGAACGTTGTTGATTAGTTTAAGCCAAGTAGGAATAAATCACATAAGTAATATGTGCATATAACATCAAAAGGAGAAAAACCAAAGTATAAACCCATCCAGCCTATTTGGACATAATGCAGTATTCTGCATTTCTGTTCAGAACGAGCAGGTACTAAGTAACTCACTTTGAGGAAGGGGAATGCATGAAATTGTGGTTCAATCACCAATCAATGTGATAGCCATGTGCAAGGAAGTTGACAAAATATGCTAAGTTGATACAAATTTCGGATGCTTTTCACATTTGTATTTCCAACGATAAGATGTTGTATCTTCTATGGGTACAAAGAAATTGCTTACTTCCTCTACACACCGCAACATAATAATGTGCAGAACAGAAAGATTGCCTTTGTTTCGCTGTTCCTCAGCTGACAAGCAACATAACTCTGGAACGCGCAACATTTCATTATCAACTCTGCGTAAAATATACCAAGGTGATGTCCGTGCTGAACCCCCTATGAGTCTACGAAGTATGACCACACAATTTTATTCTCAACCTGTTAAGCTATCAAAGCCCATTAACAGGTATACATCACAAGATGCTAACAAACAGAGATGACTGAAAGCATAGACATCGATACCTACATCCAAACCTAAAACTGGATGGCAATTCCATAGACATTAATGGCCCAATTGTGAACCGGGAAGAAATATTTGTTGTACACAAATTACTCGTCATTTTCACTCATCCGCCTTCACATGACCAAAACAATCGGTATTCAAATCAACCGCGCCTGCCTCACACAAATCGATTCCAAGAGGCGCAGCGGTACCTCAAACCGGGAGCCTCAATCACCAGGAAATCGACTCCATGCATTCCAGGAAAGCACTATAATTACCAAGATAATAGCACGCAAGCATGCGATCCTTGCAGGAGAAATC